CGAGCTCTCATCACAAGTGTGAATGTGGCTACTCAACTGAACATTGAACCGATGAAGTCCCCAGTTCGATTCCGTGTTAGGTGGATACAATCACACTCCTTGTGAGACCCACTCAGGTCGAAACAGATGCACAGCACTTTATAGCTTTTTAGTTCACTGTAATAATAGTAGTAATAGTAGTACGCACTGAACACGAAATACGAATCACGGATGAGGTGTAAGCACTGAACCACACTGATACCTGCATGCAATATTCCACGTAACCGAGACACGAGGAAAAGGCCACAGGAGAGGTAGTTCGTTTATCGAATTAAATTGGGGGAATTAAATAATATGTACAAAACAAGCTCATTGGTCATCCAGGCTTCTGCCAATCGCTTTCTAGTCTTTCCGGCCTTGTCCAGCTTCTGTCTGGGCCGCACGGTTTCTGATTGGCTGGTACAACCGACCTATGGTATGTAGTTGAGACGCTGTGACAGGCACGCACTTTGCTGACGTCACCCGTGAAGCTTGATTGATCACAGTTGTTGTCGCTCCAGGGTATGTTTCATCTCGCAGGCTAGGATCACCGTATTCACACGTCGTTTGCTCTGCATACGACGACGTCCGATGTATAATCCAGTCATGCTCTGACTATTGTGTTCTCTTGTCTTAAATCAACGGTTACGGGGGTGGGGTGGGGTACATCTACACAATATTAACATCGAATGCATTTACAAAATTATTCGGCTTGTGGGAGTGCGTGATCAGCTCTAGGAATACAAATAGAACAAAAAACGAGCCCCATAGAGATTTAACTTTGAAAAGGACTCCAAAACTTAACTCTCAATACTAATCTGACTTGGTGTATTGCTATTTTTGTCTCACTCACTACGATTCTGATAGATTGGATAATTCCAGTCATTGATTATCTCAAGTAAACGACGTAGCATGCATTTATGCTTTGTGTTAAAACGATGCGTTTCCTGTGAATTATCGCTTACGATAAATGAACAAGATCTGCCAATAAATTTCGATCTCCATTTGGAGTCGAATCGGGAACCGGTTCCATGCCCGAATAGTTTGGTTGTCTTTGGTTCATATGAACTCTCAGATTATAGGCGCTGCTTTGGTACAATGTGATAGCCTCTTCTGTAACACTAATCTCAGATCGTATTGTTTTCGTTCCCTTTTTAGAATATCCTGTTCCACTTACCCCATTCTGCCCTCCTGCTTGAACATTGCCTTGAAGGATATTGATTATATTCACTGTCACGCAGGTATGTCTTTACCCCTTGAAAAAATCATCCTCATTTTATCTGATGGCGTCACATTTTCTGTCACACAACCCCCCACCACCACCTGCTGCATGTCATTCGCTTTTTGCACTATTAGCTCACCGCCATGTTGTATTCTAAATGAGCTCCCCTTCCGCCCATATCCATCTCCCCGTGGTCTATTCAACCATTGCACAGACAACCTCGGTGTCCTGATTGTGTTCGTGGCCAGTGATGGAATTCAGTACCCGCCAATCCGATTACCGGGCGGCTGGAAATCGAGTCTGGATTTTTTGAGTTCCATCGAAATGGGACTGATGCCCTTGGTGCAAATGGAGCCGAACACTGATTCGGTTCGAGGTGAGTCGGGTGCAACGGGAGGTCGGGGTGGGGTAGACGACTGGGAGTGCGATACAAAAATTTCGTGTTATTTTGCAATCGGCTGATCCCATATTTATATATGTTATATATGTTACGTATAGGATTGCCGAAATATAAAAAGTGAATATTCTTACAGATATGTTGCGTCTGATGTGGGACAATATCATATTCAAGCCCATGTGAATGCGGCTGGAGGGACTGAGCTTTGGGAGGAACAAATATGATGCTAGTTGGGGCATTGCACGAGTTTGGTCAATGCCTGTAGTTGCAGCAGAAAAAGGTCTATCGATCAAGCGCAAAGTGAAAAACATGTAACGTGGAGGACTTGACCACTGCTGCCACCGATTCGTAATACACGGCAGGAGGTTGATTTCAGGCGACACGATCCGAGTTTGTGGTGCAAATAGCGCTGTCAGAATGCCGCTAAAGTGCCCTCTTTGGGGTTTCGAATCAACTCGTAAGCACGACCCAGTACAGATGCTCTCAATGTATAGGCAGGAATCACTTCAGACGACAGGTTCTCCTTGGAAGGGGGATTTCCAAACAACTTGCAAGACAGGGAAAATACAACACAACTATGAACCAAAAGAATAAGTGAGACATGCACACGACTCACACTCAATCCAAAATGGCGACGGCGTGCTCAACGTACCTAGCGTTACAGTAGGATGGCACAAACTGTTGGACGTATTTCAATTAGTAAAATCTATAAAATTGATCGATTCAAATTAGTCGTGAAAATATCAGTCAATAAAGCGGGCCGCATATACTTGGAATAGAGTATAATGTCTTTACTTGGTCACTTTGGTCTCGGCTGGCGTTGGCGATCGGCATTTCTCGGTCATGCGGGTAATACATAACGAACTCCAATTAACAGCTTGATGGCGCATTTCTATACTTTAGGTAAATCCGAGTGTCCGGTTGTCATTTCACATTGTCCTGCGCACAACCCAATCCCCGAAGTCTACATATTGGACATTGAATTCATTACAGATGCCACGCTCAGCCAATGTTCACTCCTGGATGATCAACATTCAACACTAGCACTTTCCAACATTCTGGTGAAGCTCAGGTGGAGGCGCAGGATACAGAAGGACCAAATTTTCCGGAAGATGAATAACATTTCACTCCACAGTTGCATCTCAGTGTGCGACACTTCTTTTGCTTTTCTGTTAAAACGAAAATGTTGAGGATAAATCCCATTGACTGACACAATGGATTGTGAAGTTCATGATGAGGCAACCCGATTTTTCAAGAAATGCGCCAGTTTGCAAGTTTTTTCTGTCAAAAGCATCCTACAGTACAGGGCGATAAACGTGTGTGTGTGTGTGTGTGTATGACTTGTCAACAATGTTATCCTTCTCCTTCAGCGAACCTCAGCTTCTATTGTAACCAGACTCTATGAGGTTGACAAAAGGAATTTGTCCGTCGTGGGTGCAAAGTGCATTGATTGAATGAACAAATGCTGAAAGAAAGAATACAGTAGTAGTGGTGGTGTGAATGTGACGACACATCTGGATGGCAGAATGCAGTTTGTCGTAGTGGCTCAACTCAATTAAATCAAATGCATCGGCTGAACAACGTTCGAGCTGGGCAGTCAGAACAGATCGTTGACCATGGCTGTCATACAGGCGTTCGAAATGATCCATACCACCAAGC